CTTCTCTACCCCAAAATCAGAAACAAGCTCTCTAATGACTCCATCTTGCTCTCTTCTATCCCTCTGAAGCCCTCTCTCAACATGACCATGATTAGCTACTTCTCTTCCTCACCACTCCCTCTTGATTTCATATGCTCGATTTCTACCAGCTTCAGGTTGATTTCCCCTAGAATTACCGGATGGAATCTCCCCAGGTTGGAAGAAACCTAGAAGGGAGAGTGAATCTAGAAGGGGGGCTATTCTGCATTGACAAAGAGAGAGAGAGACAATGTTGCCATCTCATCAATTGGGTGAGGTGTATTGTCCACATAAGCTTATAAAAATTAAAAAAGGTAATTGGAGGAGACTTAACTTGCCATGTGTGCAGTTCTGTGACGTAAGGACCATTTGGGTTCTAGAAAAATAAAGTTTAAGGATGATTTGTGTCCTTTATGTAGTTAAAGGACGAACTAAGTTTCAAAAAGAAAGTTTAGGGACCAAATTGGGTATTAAACCTTTTAATAGTTATAAGAGAGGTTGTGTTATGGCCGCAAGAGGCAATGTTATCGTCGTACAAAGGTTGAGTATTTTTCTTAAATAGTTTAGTTATGGTATTTAAAAGTAAGAAAATGTATATTAGTTTTGATTATTAAAATAAATTGAAATTTTAATTTTAAAGTATATTATTTTATTAAATTAAAATTTAAAATTTTATGTTATTAAATATTAATATTTAATAAAATAAATTTTAAAATTTTAAATTAAGATTTATTAAATAATTGAATATTAATTGTGTTAATGCTAAAAAATAAAAAAGATAATGCGAAACCAAGCACTTTATGGATCAAAGATGGAAAGAGTTTATAATAGAGAGAAAATTTTTAAAAAATTCTTTTCTTAAGTCTAACATTAGGGTATTTATAGAGTATTATACAAAGTCATACCAAAATTACAATTTTATTTGGATTGGTATTTAGGTATTCTAATTTTAGTAAAATTTAACTTATTTAATTTTAATAGAACTTTTTTAAAATATCCCCATGTGTCTTAATCTTATAAAACTTAATTTAGGAAATAACAAATTGCTTTCTTAGATATTAACTACTCTTTCGTTGGCTGATCAACCTTCATTCAAAAAAATGAATTATTTTGACTTTCTAACTTCTCATACATTAATTTTAAATAAAATTTTAATAAGTTGTATAAATAATAATTAAATTTTTTTTTATATGAAATTCTTCTTAAATACTTTAACTTGATAAAAAAAATTCAACTATCACTTATATGATAGGTTAAATTCCCATTTAAAATTTTTATTTAAAAAAAATTAAATTAAATTTACTAAAAATGAAATGAGGGAGTAATAAATAGTATACTACTATTAACTATGTTTACAATAATTGTTGAAGAAATAATAAGAAATAGTAGAAAAATGAAAAGAAAGTTCTTAGACGTGATATCACTTTCTTTAAATACTGAAATACAATTGAATTCAAAAACTCTTTTAGATTTAGATATAAAACTCTAACTTTTGTAAAGGAATTTATATTGCCTAAATGGTCATTATTTATAGGGATATATCCCTAAAAAAATGCACCATTTTATAAAAATACCTCTTGACTATCAAAAATTATGTCTGAATTTCAAACATGTCCTTTCAATTTCAAATTTAATAAAAATAAATTAAAAAATCTAATAATAATAAAAAGTTCTAGCAAGGTAAGCCCCAAAATTCCCAAGTGCCCATTTAAATAACTGGATATAGAAGGGGCAAGACCTAAACTCAAAGTTCATAATCCTTGGATTTTACTTTACTTAATTATTTATTAATAATAAATAATACTTTATAAATTTTTTTAAATTCTCATTCTTTCCTGATGTGAAATATTAACATTTACAAACTATTCAACAATGATCAAATCAAATAAAATCAATATTTTTAATGACAAAATTAAAAAGTTAGTATAGTTATAAAAGTTTCTTGTGTGATAATAACTGTACCCATTTTAAAATACCAATCGGTGTTTGAATTTTTAAAACTAAACCAATTTAGTCCCTAAACTGTTGAAAATACCATAATACTCTCTACACTTAATTTCTTGGGTGTGAATGTGTGATTATTGCCACGAAGAAGGCTGGAAGAGCGTTAATGCCTTTCGATTGGTACAAGATTGGGGTGACATTGTATCCTTAATTAGCAAAAGAATGAAAGTTTATGTTCTTTTTAATATGCATTCTCCAACAAAATGAAACCTTTTTGTTTTCGTTGCATTTACCTTTCAAAAATTTTAAACTTTTAACCATTTTAAAATACTTATAAAGGGTAAATTCTCTTTGGATTATCAATGGGAAAAAAATATACATATCATTTCTTCATGAAACTACTAAAGTCCATGGGCTTTTGAAGCCTGGCTCACTACAAATGGGCTTTGTATATATCGTGAGATTCAGGTACCCAACCAAACCAATCCTTTGCTGTTTGTAAGCAAGAGAATGCAATTTTAGCTTTTAGGGATCCAATCATTCAAGCGCGAGTCTTTGGGCCGACAAGAGGACAAGTTACGATTGCCCAAAAATGAAGTAAGGTTTCTCGATGAAAATAAAAATAAAAACAATAATAATAACAAAAAGAAGAAGAATATGTTACAATATTTTTGTATAATATAATATGATATTAAATAAATAATTATTTAATTTTGTTTTAAACAATGGAAGTTGATTTTTTTTTAATTTTTTGAATGTTAGAAGTAAAACTCAAATCATATGAACTTTTTGATTTATATAAAAAGTTGCTAATAAGAAAATAATGATCCCTAAACCATTAAGATGTTATCGAAAATGATTATTTTTCTTAAGATAACATGATAAAGTGGATATTGTACAAAAATCATTACATAGTACCGTTAATAATTTATAATAATTGTACTATTGAATTATGAGGTTCAAAATGATTTTTTTTTTTTTTTGGAACAAAGATGAAATGAGGTTTAAAATAAGATTGTGTATCCTTCAGGCTGTGTTTGGTTTGGCAAGGTTTTCAGAAAAAAATAAAAAGGGGAGCTGTACTTGGTTTGACCTGTTATTTTGGGGGATAAAATTCAATACAAAAAATGTAATGGATGATAATCAATTATATATAAGGTAAATAACTTAAATACTTTAGTGATTATTATTTTTTATTAAAAATAAGAAATTTTGAATTTAAATCACATAATATGCAAGTAAGTTAAAATAAAGAATGAAAAATAATTATCTCTCATTATACAATCAAGATAAAAAAAAATTATATATTGTTATTTATAACCAATTAAATATCTTTAAAACTAAAATAAGTAATTATTTTTGAATCATAATCAATTACTTTGCCCAAAAGAAAATCTCTTCACATTTTTTTTATTAAGAAATGCCTTTGAAACCGTTATAACTTACTACATTTTTTTTTATAAGCACATATATTTCTCCAAAACAAAGTTAATCAACTAGACTTATCTTTTTTAGTTGGGATTTGTATTAAAAACTTACAAACACTAAACTAAGTCAAGCTACATATATGGATATATTTTTTTAAACATGGCTTCTCCGAAAATACACAAAGAAATCGTTTAATATTTTAGGCAATGGCGAAAAAGTCATGAGTCCAAGTAAAAGAAAGGAAAACAAACACAGCAAAAATTAGGTAAAGGACAAAGAATTTGGAGCAAGTGACACGATTAGATGGGAGAAGGAGGAGCCCACATTTTTATGAGGAAGAGGCGCGTGTAAGGTAGGAGTAGTAGTAGCAGTAGTAAGTAGCGGGTGGGCGTTGGTGTGCAGATTGTCCTTTCTCTTCTCTTCTTCCCAAAGCAATCAAAGTTAAGGGGCAATTTCTCTCCTTTTACCACAGCAATCAGTGTGGGGTCCGCGCGCACATCTATCTATCTATCTATTTATCTTTCTTTTTTTCTATCTATCTCTGCTCCTGCCTCTGGTAGGAGTGGTACTTAATTTGCGGGTCTAATCTCCACCCCACCCCACCCCACCCCCCCAAAGCTCAGATATCGATACGGCATATTCTCGTCATTTTATCTAAACATATACCGCGATAAACTCCTTAAATGGGAAAGAGTAACGAAACCGCGATAAACTCCTTAAATGGGAAAGAGTAACGAAACGGAAGACTAAAATTTCAAAAGTTTTATCTTTTCTACTCATTTTTCGATATATAATAGTTACATTAAATTTTGATTGATCTAAAA